TTGCAGATATTTAGCTTCTTATTTGAGGGAACAACTATTCGTAGAAGATATCAGCCATCCAGAGCTCAAAGAAATTTTGAAACGATAGATGCTAGAGTTAAAGTCAGTATCTTATTCATTAATAAAACTTTATTTTCAGTAACGTATTCTGGTATGAAACACATGTGACAAACTCTTGGTAGACTTTTGTTTTCGAGTTTCATTTTATCTCAATGAAGAATTAAAGGAAATAAAATAAAACTTATTTACGAAATAAGGTATCTTTTTTAAACATCTATCGGGATATAAATACGGGTTGGTCAAGAGATTAAATTCCATAAAGCCCGAAGGTCTTTTTGATGAATTTAATCTCGTAAGAACCCGCATTTATAGCCAGATACATTTTTTAAAATGATACCTTATTACTTATATTTACATTTGTAACTTATTCATAATTTATATATTCCTGATTGTGACTTTTATCGTGTGAAATGCATTATTTTTCAAACCCAACGGCATGTATGTAATCCACTGAACTTGCGTCGACCCTTTATGACGTCACTGAGAAATTACATCGAACGTTTATCCATACGAACGTCTATGACCTCTTGAACCGGTACCAGTATTTATACGGTTATAGATACGTATTGCTTTCACTAATGTTATATAGAGGAAAACATTGGCAAATGTAATTATTTTCTGGTAAAATAATTTGAAAAAATTCTTTTATGAATGAATACAAAAATAGGTCTACTAACAGAGAGGCACAATTGGTACAACTAGAAATTCCAAGAGATTGTTTGAAGACTTCATCTATGAACTGCATCCAAACTGTTAAAATAATCTAATACTATCCAGGAACACGTATTCCTTTTAAAAATTGAGAATGTGTGAACTTATCCAATGACTGATGTAAATCGTACATGATATCAATTTTAATGCACCAGATGCGCATTGCAAAAATGTACATATATTCAGTGAAGCTCATGCCGAGACCTTGGAAAATTTCCAGATATATATATTTTAAGAAATGAAAAAAAAAATGAAGATAATGATGTGCCAAAGGCTTGCGCCAAATACGTGGACAGGTAAGATCTTTGCTTCAGAGAGATAATCCTAAAATTGAACTAAATCTCTAACTTTAATTATACTTCAATGATTAAATATATATTCAGTATTTTTTAACCTAGATTTGGTGTTACCTCTTGGGCCGTAGATACCATCGTTGACAAACACCCCACTAGAAGAAGCCTCGACCCATGGACCACAAAGTCAATTTTATACGATACAAATTTCATGCACCACATGCATGTTTGAGGAAAGAATAATATTCAGTACATAGTTCTTACAGTTAAGTAACATTTGAATGGTTCTTCGCATGGTTGTGATAAAGCTGAATTGTATGCGATGCATGTTAAGTTCTGTAGATCATCGTCTCTAGTAGTAATAAGCTGTACATAGTCGTTTTTATACATATTAATTTTCGGCAACCAAAATTGCACAAAATTTAACTACAGTTTCCAATAATAAAGATATACATTTAGAATTTGTGATAGAAGAAACCAGGGACTATGGCACTACTACATGTTCTTTATATCTGAATTTATATTTTTATATCATAAAAAGATATCAATGGCAAACCAACAACATTAAACTTTTTGATAAACCTTATGACTTCAACTTTTCTGTCGTCAACTTCCTTTATTTTTGTAGGAATACACCATTATTATCTGCATATGTTACAATCAATACGCAACAGTATATTCTTTACACGAACGATTCTTAAAATAAAAAAGAAACAGGTTGAATTGAGGGCATGTCTACAATACTGTTTGAAGTAAACACTTTGGAAGCTCCATAGTCAATATTCCACTTTACGATCATGACAAAGTACACACGGTGGATATGGCCGGTCGACAGTGAATGCTTACTCCTCCTTGCTTCCTGATTCTTACTCTGCTCAAACTTTATATCCTTTCTGTGGTCTTTTAAACTTTGAGTTGATAACCGGTTCTTTATCGTCATGTTCCATTGCAAATACTAGTTCAAATTTGTTAAATTACGAAGTTGTTTGTCCTTTTATAGTGTCTTATATTTATTGTTGCAGAAAAATGTAATTCTGGAGTAGATTTAATTAAGGTTTCATAACCCTTTTGTAAACACAGTACGTAGTGAAATATTAAGTTTAATGCAGGAAGTTACCCACTTTTTTGACTAAGTACTCATCTCCAGATCATGGAGCTGCGAGAGCCCTACCGACTGAGCTACCGTGAACATTTTACCTGTTGGAGTGCCATTTTATAGATTATTTACGATTCATTGCATTTAGACCAATCGGTTCGACGAGAATGAGGTTAAGAAGTAATTAGTTTTTCATATAATAATAATGTGTTAAAAATTACGATCCCCCTGCCTGCTTATTTGTATGCTAAAAAGAATGAGGAATTGATTGTAGTAAAAGAAATACTTTATAACCATAACAATAGATGTTCACATATGTCTCTAAATTCCCAAACAAATGGGCATTTTAAGTTGTGCTCAGAACATTTCTTCAAAATACATTATTAAATTAAACTGTGTTTTGTTGGTAAATAAACATAATTATGTTTTAAAAAATGGTTACTAAATGCATCCGCTTTATATTTTCTGATTAAGTTTAATCAACAGATACGTTTAGGAATAAAGGATTTTTTAAAAAGTTTTAATTGTTCTTTAGTTTCACTATAATTTTATTTTGTTAGTTTTAATAAGAATATTTTTTTCTCATCTCGGTACTTCCAAATTATTTTTGTCTTGTAGCATAATTACAATTTGTATATCAATTAAACACGATAAATAAATGCAAAAACTGAAAACAAAACAACACATAATCAGAGAAAGTCTTAATAATTACTCGTAAATTGGCAGTGTTTTAGCAATGATAAAATGCTATTTATAAGAACATTCTTAATTTTGTCTCCATAGGGGTACAGTGTTTAGAGAGTCTGCTCTAGATCTAGAGTTGAAAAGTAAGGAGTTCATTCTTATTTCAAGTCACGACAACCCCACCCTTTGTTAAACAGCTGAGGCAGAGTTGTCTTCGTAACAGAGAAGAGAATGATCGAGATCATTTGGTAATAATATTTCACAAATAAGTCTTTTAAGTTCTTTTTCATAATCGAGGTAGTATAGTCAAAAAACCCAGATTAGAAAAGTTTCTCAAAATCGAAAAAAAATCGCCTTAATCGATTAAAAAGTTTTCTATTTTATATAGCTTGGACAATACATTAAAAAACATACATTACTTTTGTATTTACATTTAATTATCCTGCATAACCTCAGGTAACATGTCCTTGGAAATTCGAGTTTTTGTAATGTAAAATTCTGGGAAAAAGCATACCCACACGTTTATATTGATAAAGGAAGAAGTGCGAGTTTTCTGGCCTTCACCACGATATACTCCATAAGATTAAAGGATTAAAGCTGACTCTTAAAAAGCATCATGTTTCCTCTTTGTACTACTTACTACATTACTGTACACCTTTGTCCGCTATATTTCTTCGATTCCGCTATATTTATTTGAGAATTTTGGCAACCTGTACATGATATATAAAGCCCGGTGTATTTGTTTCACTTGAATGATTTTCTAGCATTGCTGTCAAATATAACATTTCCGATAGCATAGTTTTAAAGAAATCCATAAACTGAGCAAATACATGTTTTTAAAAGTAAAAATCCAACATAAACTAGAACTATACTGAGAAGTAAATTATTTTTAAGGCAATTATAGCAATATAGACAACAAGAGGCCCATGGGCCACATCGCTCACCTGAGAAGCTTTGACTATGCTGTTCTTTACCAGATTTCCCCCTTGTAATAGAATTGTGACCCCACCCTACCCCACTGACCATAATTTGGACAATTTAAAAACTACACTGTTCCAAGAAGCTTCTACATGTTTTAGCTTTTCTGGCTCAGTGGTGTGAGAAGAATATTTTCAAAGATTTTTTCCTATATATTTCTATGTAAAACTTTGATTTTCCATTGTGGCCCCGCCCTACCCCCTGGGGTAATGATTTGAAATATTTAAAATCTACACTACACCAGGATGCTTCCACATAAGTTTCAGCACTTTCACAAATTTTTACTTTATTCTTAATCCTTAGGAAAAGTAGCAATCTTGATGTATATTAATGAAAAATATTAATACTATCATCCAGAAAATTCAGAGTAGACATGTTTGAAAGCAAAACAAACACACGATATATTGTCATTTCGTGCAGTTGTGGTGAACAGACGTTGGTGGTTGAACGCGCCCGGTGAATCGAAACGTCAAACAATAACATATTTACAAAAACCTGTGTACATAACACGAATGTGATAGATTCGCAAAACTCTGTACACAACGGAATGACAATACATGTGAAGGAGTTCTGCTTTCTAACATTTCTACTCTGAATAAAATTATTTTTCTGGATTTAAGTTTTAATATTTCTCTTCAATACACAACAAGATTGCAACTCTTCCAAAGTATGAACAGTTGAAATTTACAATGGTTTTCCGAGGCGTTTCAATTTCAACTCTTAACCTCCAAAACAGGCACCATCAATTTTATTTAACTTTATGTCTTATTGATTCAGGATGTCAGCAAAAAAATAATTGTCGATCGTCTTTATGTTCGAGTTTAGAAAGCTTTTAACCTCCCTGCTACTTCGAAAAAGATTTAACTGACCTCTTTATTGTTTGTTTCATACTCTTAGTGTCCGTTATCATCTAAGGTTTCGTTATTTTGCACTCGGAAGTATGTTTTGTCTGTCATTTGTTGTTTATAAGTAAGCTTCTTTCAAACGCGCAACTGACGTTTTGAGAATTCGACGGTGAAACGTAAGCGCACAATTTCCATGCATATGATGACATATTACACTTGTGTTACCCGTTTTTCACTTGTGTTGCTAAGGCTAAGAGTAATAGAAAGGATTGTTAACTGCGTCTAAACCAATAAGAGTTTATTGAATGAAAGTATAATTAAATTACATACAACTTTTGAAATTTTTGCATCTTTTAATTTACAATTGAATACATTGTAAAATATTGCTCTGTTGCTTTCTCTGTTGATTTCCTCAGATGACTATTGTGTTGGTAAACGTTCATCCCAAACGGGGCTGGAAAAATAAATTTTGAATTAATGAATAATATAGACGTTGAAAATGTAATTTTGTGGAGAAAATGAAATACATAAAATTAAAATGTTGAATAGTACTAGTAAACCTTATCATATATATAATGATAACACCTCTATCAAAAGAGTTATGTAATATCAGCATGAACATCAAGATAAAAAAGATAATTCCAGCATGATAAACAAAGAACATGACCAAATTAACAAATAATTATAAATAATTGACAGATACATACAAGTTGTACATCGCAATTCCGTACTTGCAATATTTACTTCATTAATATCAGTAAATAAAATGGATTTCCAGTTTATTCACTCCCATTTCTAAATTTCTACTACATTATTAGTAAAATACCCCCTTCCATAACATTATTACGTACACATTTATTTTGTTTAAGTAAATTGCATTGTACGTATTAGTTTATAGATTGTCATCATCACTGCGGACAAAGTGCGAATCGAGAAAATCCTGGTTTCGGACACTAGCGACTATTGGCACTTTTTATTTAGATTAATATATATTTTTGAAATAACACAAAAAAATCACTTTCTAGAATCCAAATTTATTAAGTAGATACGCGACGATTGGATTGCTTTTATACCCGAAAAGGGTTTGATATCAAAATATTACATGTAAATGGCATTTTTTATGTACTCGCATGCGAATGATGTATGAAGAACTTCAGGACTTATCGGACAGCGAAGTCAATAAATATAACTTTAATTTAACGTAATTTACTGCCCTGATCACAAAAATGTGTCTTTAATGTATTGTTTCAATAGAATTTGCCAATAACTAACAAGTTCATTATGAAGAGCTACCAGCTTGTTTCTGCTTAACTTTGGTTGGACTAGGTCAGTTAACTCAGTACCGGGCTCAGTGCCACTCAAGTTTTTCTCAGTACTACTCAGGGTTTTCTCAGTACCACTCAATACTTACTCAGGATTTTGTTGTATTCTCAGTGCTTTTATGTTACAGTAGTGACATATCCGGCGGGACGCGATAGCCGATGCCCTTCTTTCTCTGTGCCTGCAAATATGAGTTATATTCAAAATTGTTTTGTTGAGGAAGTGGTTTCTGTTATCAAAAGTATTGGGCATTGTTCTATAAGTATATTTTGAGAGTCTACAAGTACAGCTAAAAAAAATTAAAACAAAAGTGGGGTTTTGTGCGCTTCTTTAAAAAACGATATGGAGCAATATATCACCTTTTGCACTACAATTACGTCTAACAGATAACTCAATTTTTCAGGTTTAAAAAAAAGTAATTTTTGATTGATTTTTGATTAAATACAGTTTTTTTTCCATGTATGGAGTCACATTAAAAATTGTGAAAACAAAAAAGTTTAAGATTACTTCGCATATTCAATGATTTGATCTTCCTGCTTTAAAAAAAAAATTGGTATATTCCGGGTGTTAAAAATTAATTTAAAAAGCAATGGAATCGTTTGAAAGTAATTTAAATTTCCAAGATTGAGTAGTTAAAAATATATTATACATTAGGAAAATAAAATAAAAGGTGGGGTATTTGATGTACAATTTTAAATATAACTAAAATGGTGCCAATTTTAAGCTTAGGGACTTTCATTATATATTTGATATTATTTGCCAAATATTGTATGTTGATAGAATTCATGAAAGTTAATAGATGATACTGAATATTTCGGATTTTTAAAAATCTTTTTATTCTAAAAAAAAAAACTTCCGCCACAACATATAGTTCCTCACTGAATGTTTTCGCTATGGAAATTAAAGTTGAGGTTTTAATTGATTATAGTTTAATTGGCATTTTAGAATCCAAATATATTGCAAGAACTAAAACATTATGTAGATTTCAAAAAAGATATCAATATATAAAATAAAAACAGACAAGCTCATTAAAAGAAATCAAATTTAGAATTTTATTGCTTATTTCACACTTTTCTAAAACAATATATATCTTTGCATATACATGGAGTTGAATGTGGGAAGCAAGTAAAAATATTGTTGTTTATCGTTAGAACTTGCAATTAACTGTCAACTATGACAAGAGAGTATTGGCACAAGTTGGCTGTAGAAAAGCAGGAGCTTGCAAGTGCATCTGTATTCAGCCTACGAATCCCAATATTCAGCAATTAAAGTTTAAAGACTTATTATTATATAGCTAAAACATTTTTTTCGTAATTTATAATAATAATTTCAGTTTAAAAACTCAAATTAATGATCTTTCAAATCAACGCCTGTCCTGTACATGTTCAACATCGCTTCATTCCGATGACTCTACTGAGGGTTACATATATGATTTGCTTTTTTAGGTTTGAAGCCTTGTGGGTCTAATACGTACTTCATTTTTAATTAATAATTTCATTTTTGTGTTAAAAAAAACCAATACATCTAGATACCATACGACATTTTAGTTTACAACGGGGCATTCGATATTGGACACTCGTATTCGGAATGGTTTGGGCATACTCATATTACGTACAGCAAAACTCGTTTAGTACGAACATGGATATAGCGAATTCACCGATATAGCGAAGTTATTTTAGATCCCCAGCCATATGAATTGAACGAATTTCTTATGTGGATATAACGAATTACGGATAAAGAGAACAAATTTCATTGGTCCCCGTGACATCGTTTTAACCGAGTTTTACTGTAATACAATCTCAACGTTAAATAAAACGCCAAATTAATGAATTTTGAATTCTATAGATGTTTAAAATTTTTGATTATCGACTATTTTACCTATATAATAATAATATATGCATCTGTTGACGCTTAGTAGCAAAACATTGCATGGTTTCCTTTTAAAATACATTTGTTTTATCTACAAACCAAATAATATAACAAATATTTATATTATATTATATTATATATAAATCATACCTACCTTTTAAATTTGAAGCTGTCGGGGGATATCTTGAACCCTTCATTCCCATCATCTCTATCAAAAGAGTTATGTAATATGAGCATGATCATCAAGGTAAAAAAGATAATTCCAGCATGATAAACAAAGAACATGAACAAATTAACAAATAAATATAAACAATTGACAGATACATACAAATTGTACATTGCAATTCCGTACTTGCAAAATCTACTTCATTCATATCAGTAAAGAAAATGGATTTCCAGTTTATTTACTTCCATTTCTAAATTTCTAATACATTATCAGTAAAATACCCCCTTCCTTAACATTATTACGTACACATTTATTTTGTTTAAGTAAATTGCATTGTACGTATTAGTTTATAGATTATCATCATTCCTGCTGACAAAGTGCGAATCGAGAAAATCTTGGTTTCGGACACTAGCGACTATTGGCACTTATTATTTAGATTAATACATATTTTTTGATATAACACAATAAAAATTACTTTCTAAAAACCAAATTTATTAGATAGATACCCGGTTGGATTGCTTTTATACCCGAAAAGGATTTGATATCAAAACATTACATGTTAATGGCGTTTTTTATGTACTCGCATGCGAATGATGCATGAAGAACTTCAGGAATTATCGGACAGCGAAGTCAATAAATTTAACTTAAATTTAACGTTATTTACTGCCCTGAACACAAAAATGTGTCTTTAATGTATATTTTCAATAGAATTTGCCATAACTAACAAGTTCATTTGGTAGGGCTACCAGCGTATTTCTGTTTAACATTGGTTGGACTAAGTCAGTTAACTCAGTATCGGGCTCAGTGCCACTCAGGTTTATCTCAGCACCACTCAGGGTTTTCTCAGTACCACTCAATACTTACTCAGGATTTTGTTGTATCCCGCGGGATGCCCTTCTTTCCCTGTGCCTGCAAATATGAGTTATATTTAAGATTGTTTTGTTGAGGATGTGGTTTCTGTTATCAAAAGTATTGGGCTTAGTATTTCAAGTATATTTTGAGAATGTATAAGTACAGCCTAAAAAAATTGAAACAAAAGTGGGGTTTAGTGCGCTTCTTTAAAAAACAATATGGAACAATATATCACCTTTTGCACTACAATTTCGTCTAACACATAACTAATTTCTCAGTTTTAAAAAAAGTAATTTTTGATTGATTTTTGGATTAAATACAGTTTTTTCCATGTATTGGGTCACAATAAAAATTGTGACAACAAAAAATATTTTAACATTACTTCGCATAGTCAATGATTTGACATTTCTGCGTTAAAAAAACTCTTATATTCCTAGTGATTAAAATTAATTTAAAAAGCAATAGAATCGTTTGAAAGTAATTTAAATTTCCAAGATTGAGTGGTTAAAAATATCTTATACATTACGATAATGAAATAAAAGGTGGGGTATTTGATGTACAATTTTAGATATTACTAAAATGGTGCCAATTTTAAGCTTAAATTGGGCTTTTCTTTCAGGGACTTTCACTATATATTTGATATTATTTGCCAAATACTGTATGTTGATGGAATTCATGAAAGTTAATTGATGATACTGAATATTTTGGATTTTTAAAAATCTTTTTAGCCACATCAAATAGTTCCTCAGTGAATGTTTTCGCTATGGAAATTAAACATAAGGTTTTAATTGTGTTTAATTGGTAATGATTTTGCTTATTTAGGTTTGAAGCCTTGAAATCAAATTTGGGTAAAACAAATCATAATGTATATCTTTGCATATACATGGAGTTGAATTGGGAAGCAAGTAAAAATATTTTTGAACTTGCAATTAATTTATGACAAGAATTTAATTTTTGTGTTAAAAACACAATTAAAATTTACGTATTATTATTTAGATAAAAACCAAATTAAGATAATCATTTTTCAACATCGCTTACGATGACGGGGCATTCGATATTGGACAATCGTATTTCGGAATGGTTTTGGCATAGTCATATTACGTACAACAAAACTCGTTTAGTACGAACATGGATATAGCGAATTCACCGATATAGCAAAGTTATTTTAGAGCTATATGAATTGAACGAATTTCTTATGCGGATATAACGAATTACGGATATAGAGAACTAATTTTATTGGTCCCCGTGACTTCGTTTTAACCGAGATTTACTGTAATACAATCTCAGCGTTACATAAAACGACAAAATATTGAAGTATGAATTCTATAGATGTTTAACATTTTAATTATCGACTATTTTCGTTATATAATTATATGCATCTGTTAACTCTCAGTAGCAAAATGTTGCATGGTTTCCTTTTAAAATACATTTGTTTTATCTACAAACCAAATAATATAACAAATATTATATTATATTATATTATATAAATCATACCTACCTTTTAAATTTGAAGCTGTAAGTAATTTATCATTGAACACCTTCATTCCCATCATCTCTGTCAAAAGAGTTATGTAATATGAGCACATCAAGGTAAAAAAGATAATGCCAGCATGATAAACAAAGAACATGAACAAATTAACAATTAAAATAAATATAAATAATTGACAGATACATACAAATTATACATCGCAATTCCGTACTTGCAAAATTTACTTCATTCATATCAGTAAAGAAAATGGATTTCCAGTCTATTCACTTCCATTCTAAATTTCTAATACATTTGCAGTAAAATACCCCCTTCCTTAGCATTATTACGTACACATTTTTGTCTGTTTAAGTAAATTGCATTGTACGTATTAGTTTATAGATTGTCATCATAACTGCTGACAAAGTGCGAATCGAGAAAATCTTGGTTTCGGACACTAGCGACTATTGACTCTTATTATTTAGATTAATACATATTTTTTGAAATAACACAATAAAAATCACTTTCTAGAAACCAAATTTATTAAATAGATACCCAGTTGGATTGCTTTTATACCCGAAAAGGGTTTGATATCAAAACATTACATGTAAATGGCGTTTTTTATGTACTCGCATGCGAAAGATGCATGAAGAACTTCAGGACCTATCGGACAGCAAAGTCAATAAATTTAACTTAAATTTAACGTTATTTATTGCCCTGAACACAAAAATGTGTCTTTAATGTATTGTTTCAATAGAATTTGCCATAACTGACAAGTTCATTTCGTAGGGCTACCAGCTTGTTTCTGTTTAACATTGGTTGGACTAAGTCAGTTAACTCAGAATCGGGCTCAGTACCACTCAGGTTTATCTCAGCACCACTCAGGGTTTTCTCAGTACCACTCAATACTTACTCAGGGTTTAGTTGGATCCCGCGGGATGCCCTTCTTTCCCTGTGCCTGCAAATATGAGTTATATTTAAGATTGTTTTGTTGAGGAGGTGGTTTCTGTTATCAAAAGTATTGGGCATTGTTCTTCAAATATATTTTGAGAATCTACAAGTACAGCCTAAAAAAATTGAAACAAAAGTGGGGTTTAGTGCGCTTCTTTAAAAAAAACAATATGGAACAATATATCACCTTTTGCACTACAATTTCGTCTAACACATAACTAATTTCTCAGTTTTAAAGAAAAGTAATCTTTGATTTTTGGATTAAATACAGATTTTTCCATTTATTGAGTCACATTAAAAATTGTGACAACAAAAAATATTTTAAGATTACTTCGCATAGTCAATGATTTGACCTTTCTGCGTTAAAAAGAACTCTTATATTCCTGGTGATTAAAATTAATTTAAAAAGCAATAGAATCGTTTGAAAGTAATTTAAATTTCCAAGATTGAGTGGTTAAAAATATCTTATACATTAGGATAATGAAATAAAAAGTGGGGTATTTGATGTACAATTTTAGATATTACTAAAATGGTGCCAATTTTAAGCTTAAATTGGGCTTTTCTTTCAGAACTTTCACTGTATATTTGATATTATTTGCCAATGACCAATGAGTCTACTGAGGGTTATGATTTGCTTATTTAGGTTTGAAGTCTTGTGGGTCTAATAGTTACGTACTTCATTGTGGTGTTAAAAATACCAATACATCTAGATACCAGATAACATTTTTGTTTACAACGGGGCATTCGATATTGGACAATCGTATTTCGGAATGGTTTTGGCATACTCATATTACGTACAGCAAAACTCGTTTAGTACGAACATGGATATAGCGAATTCACCAATATATAGCAAAGTTATTTTAGATCCCAACCTATATGAATTGAACGAATTTCTTATGCGGATATAACGAATTACGGATATAGAGAACAAATATTAATTTTATTGGTCCCCGTGACTTCGTTTTAACCGAGATTTACTGTAATACAATCTCAGCGTTACATAAAACGACAAAATATTGAAGTATGAATTCTATAGATGTTTAACATTTTAATTATCGACTATTTTAGCTATATAATAATAATATACGCATCTGTTGACGCTTAGTAGCAAAACATTGCATGGTTTCCTTTTAAAATACATTTGTTTTATCTACAAACCAAATAATATAACAAATATTTATATTATATTATATTATATTATATAAATCATACCTACCTTTTAAATTTGAAGCTGTCGGGGGATATCTTGAACCCTTCATTCTCTTGAAGTGTTGCACCTTTAAAACAATGCAGAAATCGGTGTCATATAAAATATCTCAATAAAAATTATCAATACAAAGTGAGAACGAAGTTTAGTTTTCTCTTCTAGTAAAAGATTTTTTAACCGATAAAAAAAGAAAAACAAAACTATTGAAATGAGGTCTGATTTGTAAATACATCTCCCTTGCTGACTTCTATCGGCGTATCCTTAAAGACACATGCATGCTTCAAAAATACTTTGAAACATATTTCTCGGAAAAAAAAAAGGTGTACGTAGAATAGGCCAAATGTTATCAATTTTCGAAAATATAATAGATTTGTTTGTATCTTCATTTTAAAGAATAAAAGATTTATGTTTTTAATAATTGATTGGAGCAGTTTATTAGTTTTATGTATTTATTCATTTATTAACAAATATAAAAAATTAATTAAATTTAAAACTGTATAATTTTCTAAAATGCAAAAAATATCTATTTATTTTATTTGAAAATTAAGAATATAACAAATAAAAAAATGATTTATGTCCCCCAAAATTTGTTTTTATTTTAAAGTTTCATTTCATTTAATCAGTTTTAGGCTCTAAAAACGCTAGTAAGTATTCTAATCATATTTAAATGACTTTCAATTATTTAACGTCCATAATGGATATAAGAATAATTGCATTTTGATACTTTTATTTGTATTGAATGAAAAAATCGGTTCCAATACAAAGATTTATTGCTTTTACAAACAGCTACGGAGTGTACACGGTCGCTCTTCTAAAAAATAAACAAGGTATAGAGGTAATTGAAAAAAGACAATAGGTGTCACTACTGTGTATCCCGAGTCTTTGGTAACATATCAATGACTTAGTGGTTTTTTCTGAACCTTCAGAGTTTTTTGGAATCCGATTTTTTTTCAAACAGATCAAAATAAAGTAAAAGTATCGAAAAAGAAATTGACGACTTAAGATTGTTAATAATTAGTCGACTATTTTGATACTCATCATTGACGTAAAATAATTGAAAGTCGTTTTAATATGCTAATAAAATACTTTCTAGAGTATTTTTGGATAAAACTGTTTATTTAAAATAAAAGTAACAAATAATTTTTTTAGGATTCGTTTATTTGCTGCATTATCAATTTCAAAAACAAATGAAAAAATAAATTGACATTTTAATTTTACATTTATTTATTTATTTCTGTCCATTAGTAGATATATTTATGCTTACGGAATAAATAAATAAAATAAATTATTAGGTTATTTGTTAATTCTTATTTATTATTTAGTCATTTTATTAATGCATTTATATATAGTTATTTTCATTTAATTTATTTATTCAATTCACTAGAAAACAATTATTCAATGCATAGATTTGATTATTTGTTCCCAAAAATTTAAATTTTACATAAACATTTATTAAGCTTAAAGATTTTATCAGTGTAGATCAAAATTAAAACAAAAAAAAATTTAAAAAATAGATTTTTTAAAAGTATACTCACCGTCAATGAAAACGCAACACTGAATAAGATGTGAATAAATTTTATGAGAAATATTATTTGCGTCATGTAAATCAATTGTCAACTTCATATGGGTTTCAGAAATGAAAATCTTGTGTTTGAAATTGAATACTTAATTGTACATTTAATAAAAACAGTTAGAAGCACGGCAAACATTGAAATCAAAATTCACAAATCAGTATCTAATGTGTCCGCCGCGTGCTGCAACACACGCACGGCATCTCCTCCGCATAGAACGAATTAGACGTTGTATTCGGGCTTGGGGAATACTTATCCATTCTTCCTGCAGTGCTGCTTCCAGCTCCTGACGTGTCTGTGGCTATAAGATGATGTTGTTTTACAGTTTTACCTAACTGGTCCCATAAATGCTCTATAGGATTCAGATCGGGTGAAAACGCCGGCCATGGAAGCGTGTTGATGCCTTGTTGGCATAAGAAGGCAGTCGTTAGACGGGCAGAGTGAGGTTGCGCATTATCCTGCTGAAACTGATGGACATCATGATACACAGCAAAGAACGGAACAACTGCAGGACGTAGTACCTCATCTATGTAACGCTGTGATGTGAGATTACCATCAATGAATTAAGGGGTGTGCGATCAAGAAACGAAATAGGTCCCCATAATTATTTTGTGTCCCGTAATCCCCATCTTTTAATTCCCGAACACAACAATTTGCGTAACAATCACCACTTCGTCGCCATACACGGACACGCCCATCATTGCCACTCAAATGAAAACGGTCACCCGTGAATAGAACTCCAGTCCATTGCCTTTGTATCCACCGCTGACGCTGCTGTGTCCACTGCAGTCGATTCTGACGTCTTATTTCCAAAAATTATTGCCATAAATGATCGTCTTGATGTAGGCGCACAAATCGAAGCCGATTTAGCACAGTTGACTCATTTGGACAAATTTTAAAACTACATCTTGCATATTTTAATTTCTCTGCTGCCGTAAGGAATCGGAACGGAGATACGTAATTGGATGAAATGGTCCTTTGGTGACTTTCACTCTAGCTCTGCCTGAGCGCAGCCTGTCATTAACGGAACCCGTCAATGCAATCCTCTGTTATATAGTGATAGTGGAGGGGGAACAGTCCATCTCTCTGACAAGCAATTTGTCGCGCAGACATGCCTGCATGAACATACCCTTTGCTTCATGGCGCTGAATTTACTTAGCCTCGGCATAATTTCAAAATGAAACGGTTAATAAAAATTTCTTTACTGGCCTTCATTCACTCGAAATTTTGCTAAGCACATGCAAATCGCTGAGTCCGATCGAGCAAATGAATAAATTCAATACAAAATCATGCGTTTCTGGCGCATACTCAGATAAACCGTATATGAATAGTCATGTCAACCGTGACCGAACGAAAATGCATTTATTATATTTTTATAATGTTTATTCAAAGTGTTAAATCAAATTTGAACCCAAATTAATTGCTGATAAAAATTATTGAAAATAGAACTGTTGCGTTTTCATTGACGGTGAGTATATATTTAATGCTGTCTAGCTTCAAAAGATGCAATAAATTGATTCTTTAGAATCAAAATATTTCATGACGTTTTTCCCTTGATATGCAAAAATTAATATAAATTATAGAAACGACAGAGGGGTGGTTAAGGGAAAGAAGGATCTTAGCTATAAAAATACTTGTTTGATTGAAATTATCCTTAATTTCAGCAATAAACGTTGTAAGATAAAACATTGTTTATTAACAAGATTCTAAAAGTATGGTTTATGTGTTTTAAACGTTTTATCTTCCCATTGTCAGGGATTTGATTACTCTTGCGATAATTTTTGCTGAAAGTGTTGAATATCTTAAAGTAAACAAATATGTGCGTATTCAAGAGGCAATGTAAAAAAGTAAAATAAAGTTCATAAGAAAGATTATAAAGCGGTGACAAATTAAGGATTTGAATTATTTCATTTTCAAGTTTCCTAGGTCTTAATTATTTTGTGTGGTAATGTTTCATTTTTAATTTACTAAATTGAAAATATCTTCTTACCTTCAGCTATTATGAAGATCAACAAAACGACAAGAAATGGCTCCCAGTGCATTATCAGGTTATCTACGAATAAAAGTTTGGAGGAAACGTAATCTTCACGTGTTCCAAAAAAGTGCATAATGCTTCAATGAACTAATTAGTTTGTAAAATTTGCAGTAATCATTTGGAAAATTTTAAAACTTTAAATTATTACATTAATTTTTCTTTACAGAAGTTCGAAGACTTACCGTGATTTGCCTCACTTGAATAGTCTTACCCTTTAATGACTTTGGTTTCTGCAATGTCGAAGTAGGCAGAAATCCTTGTAATATATAAAGTTATTTACACATATCACGTGACACCCAGTTGCCAATTAAAATGAAAGATTTTGGAAATCGAGCACTTCAAGACATCTTGATCAATGTACAAATTTCAAGTATTAAAATCTCTCAAATCTTTTTGACAAATAAAAAAAAAAATAGAATAAACATTCTGTATCAAAGATAAACCCACGTAAATATATATTGTTTGGTTCCTTATAAGCAGTTTTTTCATTTCAAAGCAGATAGGAAGAGGTGAAAAAAAAGAAACCAAATTTCCAAATTTTACTGATTTTTACGGAGGAAAACTTGAAGTTGATTAATTATCATACGAGGGTCGTTCAAAAATTACGCGGACTTGTTGCACAGAAAAGATATTAGATGATATAATCGGACAAAATGTCAAACATAATATAAAAGAATCTTTACTTATATGGTCTTCAAAATTTCATATCAAAATGTTGAAAATTGGTATCAATTTTGAGTGATTAATCCGGACATATCATTGAGTCACGGAGCAGCAAAATCTTCGACGTCACAGGCATTATAAAAAATATCTATTAAGTTTTCATTTTCTCAACATTTTCCCAAGAGTACCTGTATACTATACAGTTTGAGTTACCTTATCTACTCAACATCCAAACACCATTTTTTTGTGAAGCTTAAAGTCTATTTAACAAGTAAAGAAAATTCTTTTTTTTAACCAAAAACTGCAGGTATTTATGAGATATAGTGTAACGTTCTTTACAGTCCGGATAAAGTTTTCGTCGATAATCGTCTTCCCATCCTCCCGTATAGCCTTTTCACAGAGGTCTAACGGTCTAAAATTTCATTTTGCTATTTGTGGACGAATGTCACAAATACCCTAGTTTACTACATGTTTAATTATGCATATTTTGGATCTATGTTGGCGATATCTCGAGCTTTACACATAATTTAACAAAAGTGTGGTGCGCCGTTAATTCAGGAGACGTCATTTTCAGTCGTTTTCGCGGGAATCGCATCGGAGAAAAATCATTGTATTTCTGTTAGTACTTTAAATATTATGTCAGAAATCTAAATACATAACAATAGAGCAATTCAAAGATACATCTGAGAAAATTGTGGAGAAATATCGCGAATTATAGAAAATTAATGAGCTAAATTTTGGATTCCGCATGCGTTTGCTTCATTTTTTTGTCGTGCTCCGTACCTCTCCATCAGCAATATCAACATACCGATAATTTTCGTAGAATATTTTTGAAATACAGAACTTTTGCCCAAAAGTTATTGGAATCTTTAAGATACGTATTTCTGTGATATTTAATAACTATATGACGTCTGTAAGAGTAAATAATAGCACAGTCCGCGTAATTTTTGAACGGCCCTCGTATATATATATTATTGAGGAAAAATCGATTTTGCTACATTTTATACTCATCAAAGTATTTGTTTTAGACGAATAGAAGTATGATCCTTGTTGCATTAGAAATTATGTCAAAAAAAAAAATAAAAGAAAAAGAAAAGATTCTTAATAATCCCACTGCAACATGTATTGAGGGACATGTCAGCCATCAGTGCGGATCTTTTTATGTTTTAAAGCTTTAAAACAATATAAATACTTGGAATACATTATTTTTAGAATAAAAAAATAAAGTAAAAACAAAGCAGAATGAACAAAATTCAAATACATGAATGTGTTTTTCTCGCATACATAGTTTGGATCCAGATGAAGAATTACATTTTTACTTGATAACTTTTTACCAGTTACTTGGAAAATAACAAAACAAATCAGAGTGAGATTAGACAAAAACCAGTGTAATTAGTGTGTCTTATGGGAGATAAAAAATGAATGTATAGATTATCCCAGCAGCAGATATTGAGAATAACAGTATAGTTAGTATGAAAATCACATAGGGTTTTTAAACACATGATTTATTTGCTCCTTGAAATTTTTCAAATCATCTGATTGTAATTATAGTAAATTAGATTTCGTTTCAAACAAACACTTGATCTTTACACTCGGTAAATTGAAATTAATTACTTCAAATTCCTTTTAGATTATATCAGATGTAGTTCTTGGAAATATTGCTTAAAGTAGATGTTTGTTATTTGTTATGCAATATCACCAATTTCTTTCCATCCATTGCCCACCAAACGCTGGTAATCATGTATGACCTGATTCTTAAACAAGTCCAAATGCGAATCATTACTACCACTCCCTTTTATAAATAAGATTTGTCAGTTTAACTGATTTGATATATATTTGAATTATAATGGAAAAGTATAGCAACGAAAGTCAGTAAAATGAAGAAAACATAAAATATCAAAATAATTACTACCTTATGAATCTTTATAGAATCTTTATAGCATAAATTTGAAAGTTTGGGATTTTATGATACCTCCTTTTTAATTAAACAGATCTACAATAATGAACTAGAGAGTTACAAAATTAGCTTCTAATACTAAATTCCCGCTTTGATAAATAAATGAAAAACTCTAATAAGAAATCATAAGCATAGAAAGCAAACTTCTTAAGTAATGATTTCTTTCTCATAAATTAGCCATTACAGGACTCCTCTTTGAATTGTATATCGTTAATTAAATTAAGGATTAACTTATTCCGCTTAGAAAATCTCTATTGTAAGTAACACGAAGGTCTAGAATAGAAAATACATTAATAACTTGATGTAATATCGAAATAATTTATTGCGTAATCATTCATGAATCACCCAATGATTATTTCAATTTGGAAAGACTTACTAGTCCACTTATATGCTTTAGAAATCCCTTTTGAAAATTGAAACGTTTCATAAAAACAATCGGAGAAGTAATGCCTGCACCTTAATATGGAAAGCCAAAGGGTTCAAAATTCCAATTTTGTAATTCATAAAATGTATACATTGAAACCTTAATTTGTAAATTGAAAATCAAAATTTCATAATTTGTCGATTGTTCTATCATAATTTGTTAATTGTAAATTATCCAACAGAACTTGTAAAATGTAAATGCAAGCTATGTAAATGATTAATTCGTAGACTTACGATTCGTCAACTTTTGAAATGTTAATTGTACTTACGTGATTTGTAAATTATGCAAGGTTTCATATTTTGACGAAAGAGGGCGCTGTAAGGGTGGCAATTTATTTCGCCCAAAAGATTAAAAAGATCTTGAACCAGTTTTGTAATCTGCATGCATATTATGCCTTCAAACAGTTTCTTAAGCTGTTTACAAATAAATTAAATAGTTTAATACTGAAAAAGAACAGATTTCTGGATCTAAATTTATTTTAATTTTAATACATAATACTTCGCTATTTGTATATACAGAGGGCAGGCGCGGATCTCGGAATTTTCCAAAGAGGATCGGGGACCACCCCAGTCAAATATACCAACCAGAGATTCAGTAGTTAAAACATCTATTTGTTGGTGGTTGTGGTTTGTATGTGTGTGTATGTGGGGGGGGGAGGTAAAGTAATTTTTTATTTGCTTCAGTATATAAAATTGTCAGCTCTGCATATTGTGGGGGGTTGGGGGGTCCTGACTCCCAAACCTCCTCTGCATCCGCTGACGAAGTGATGCAGAGGGTATAGAATCTGAAAACTTTAACAGTTTTATAAAGTAGAGTAAAGACCAGTTACGTGTATAAGGGGGGTTCCCCCTTCGCACTTTTTCCGAACATACGTAATTACTGTAAATTTAGTTCCAAAAACCCATCATAATTATAGATCGAAAATTTGTTTTGTGAAAAAAAGAACCATACCAGGACCCCACCCCAACCCCGGTTTTTCAATACAAAAGCGTCAATAATTTTTTTATGTACCCCTTTCAAAAATGATGTTACATGCATGGTAACTATAGATTTTTTTCCATGCTCTGTTTCTGTGTGAATCATTGGGTCCCAGGTCAGGAAGCCTTTTTAATAAACATATGTTACATAGATTAATTCACCGAGATATTTGGTACTTATAAAGAGTTGATAGCAGATTAAATTTTTACTTATCTGCACTTCAAAAAATAATTAATTTAAATTCTCCGTATATACAACAGAATGTGTATTTTACAAAAACATGAATGGGTCTGTCAAAACCTATTCAATTACCAGTACATTTTTCCAAATAGGGGATGGAGTTGGGGGTGGGGTGGTCATGTCCATTAAAAAGTCGTCCAAACGCAAAATACCCATTTGTGTGTGTGTGTTCGTGGGAGGGGGGTGTTATTGGACATTTATCGCTGATAAGCTGTTTCAAATGAAATATCTATATGAAAATTAATTCTACTTATAAACGAGGGGTCGATAACATCTGAAATGGGGTCCAAGATTATTTCTCCATTGTTTACTGTATAAAATTCATAACTGAAAATCAGAGGGGTCCAAACCTCCCCAACCCCGAGAACCCCTCCTACTGAATCTACCAGTAACACTACAGACGCAGGGGGTGATAAGTAAGCATACAGAATATTCTACCTTGATTTGGTAATTGAAACATTATGACGTCATAGTGGGCTAGATGACGTCAATTTTAGAACACAGGTGTTCGTAATATTGGTATTTAGAGATGAAATTTAACTCTGGAAAATACATGTGAATTGAAACGTGTAAAGATTAACAAAAATAAGATGTTTTTTTTTTTGTTATGCTGTATCTGTCAATTTGATTAAAATCTAACAACGATGAATTCATATGTGTACATTGAGTAACTTGGGAATTGATCATGTCGTGTAAAGAGAATTTGGCTAATACAGCATGTACAAAGATGCGTAAAATGGAGTTTAAAAGCATGTATCGGGAATATTATGTGAAACTCTTGTCAGCAAATACAAGTTATCATTGAGTCAAACGCTGACTGACGTTTTCCATACCAATTGTTTGTCCATTATTTTTACACTGAATTGACGACGGATTTTTTCAGTTATTTCCTGATCATGACAAAGAGCATACGGCCGGTGTGACCGGTTTGCAGGGGATGCTCACTCCTCCATGGCACCTGATCCCACCTCTGATGTTTTGGGGGTCCGTGTTTGATCTGCTCTTATTTTGTATT